AATTTAGAATGGGAATGTATTTATCTTTAAAAATCTGTGCTATCGATCTTAAAAAAAAAAGTTTGTGAAAAGAATGAAAGAAAATTTGGACTGGGGATGTGGCTCAAGTGGTAGCGTGCTCGCCTAGCATGCGTGAGGCACTGGGTTCAATTCTCAGCACCACATAAAAATAAAATAAAGATATTGTGTCCACCTGAAACTAAAAAATAAATATATTTTCTTAAAAAATTGCATGTGAAAATAATTATCATTAATATTAATGTAGAGCAACCTAGAGAAACAAAGGACCTAAATTCTGGTGCAGCCCTTCAGATGTCATTTAGTGAAATTGAATGTGGACATGTCCTGTGACCTGGCAATTTTACTCTTGCATATATACCTGAGGAAACTTGGGGGCACCGGTTCATCTTGGAACACAGCCGAAGATGCTCATAGTAGCATTGTTGGTGATGTCAGGGAATTCTAGGCAAGCAAGGCACTTGTCACTGAGACACGGATAGATGACCGGTAGAGGATGCTTTTGTGGAATACAGAGTGGACGTTCGAACAGGAAAATGGGCATACACCCAGCAACACAACTAGAACTGTAAAATGGAGTGATGAGTGGAAAAAGGAAGCCATGTGTCATCTGCCGCACACTGTCACTGATGCACATGTAAAACAAATTCATTCCCAGAGCATCCATGCATTTGTATCCAAAGGTATTTACCAAACACAATCTAGTAAGAGCCTGTGGGAAATGGGACTGAGAAAGTGGGGATGAAGAGAAAAATAATGAAACAAAATCTAGCCAGAGCTGAACTTCAAACAGGCTGATGCTCATGGTATGCACAGTATGTGCTGTGAACCAGGAAGTAGGATTAACTTATTTTCCTGCTCCTTCCAAGGGGAGAGAGAGAGGGAGCGAGTGCTTGCACACGCCATGACTGGTTTAGAAGCAGGATCCAGAGAACCTAGGAGAAAAATAAATCTTGGGAACCAGAAAAGGGAACCAGAAACCCGTTCTGGGTTGGAAAGAAAAATCTAGCTTCATTTGCTCCCTAGAATGGATTGGAAGAAGAAA